GTGTACGACTGATTTAACGAAACACAAATAAGCCAGAAGTGCTAATAAACCGTATATAACAGCTTACACTTCTGTTGAGGCGCAGAGCGGCCATCTTTCCGACTTCCCAGTTCAACTGGAACGCACCATAAAATAAATCAAGTGGTGTGAGATAATTTCACTTGTTTCTGATACAAATTGAATTGATTTGATTATCTTGGCGTATTTTGCTTTTTTATTTCCCAGTCACTTGTCTTGAGAATAAACAAAACAGAATTGGTGAAACTATATAGGAAAGAAGTTGCTTTATTCTCCACTTGGTTTTATAAAATGCAGATTTTAACACTCAGTATTTGTCTGAATGACTTGGTAAGATGGACACAATACTGATATTGTATTGTATTACCTTGTTAGCTGTCCATTTAACCACTGAACCTCTCCGTCCTTCACTTGTTTCCCCCCTCACAGCTGCTGCGACCCCTCAACACACTGGACGACCTCTGTCGAATAATGCAGTCCTATATCAACGTGCGCCCGAGTGCCCACGGCCACCCGTCAGGTGTCAGCGTGCTGTGCGTGTCCTCTGAGCTGTGTAACCGCCTGGGAGCCTGCCACATCACCATGTGTGGCACAGGCATGCAGAGGTCAGCCCGGCAACACACAGACATTATAACACTGCTTGTGTCGTATCACTGGACTGTCAGCTGGAATAAAGATTAACACAGTGCAGAGGGGATGACATGCACCACTGAACCTCATAAACTTTGGTTTTTTTTCCACTCTTTGCAGATGTACCCTGAGTGTGACACTGGAGCAGGCGATGATCTTAGCCAGGAATCACGGCCTCATTCCACGCTGCATCATGCAGACCATGGACATTATGCGTAAACAGGTAAATGAGCGGGGGTCCCTTATGGGGTCATATCTCTGAACTAAGTGTAGCGTCGTTTCACATACAGTCAGTCTATTACAATTCAGTACAACAGCTCTGCCATAAATTTTGCCTTTATGAAGATTATAATGTAAACATTGTCAGAAATGTCCAAATTCAGTTACGTGTTTATTACTGAGGTCATAGTTAAAGGTTGTGTCTTATGTTGAGAGGGCAAAGTAGAATCACCTCCGCATGTCCTGCAGCACCACCACTAACCTGCTAATGCTAACACATATAATTAAACTGACACCTCCATGGCAATGTAAAAAAAAAAAATTTGTCAAAGAATTAAAGGCAGAACAGTTGTATTAGTTTGCATTAGACTGCATTAGGTGTGCCTTATAAAGTGGCCAGTGAGTGTGTATCTATATGAGAAGAAATGATTTTAGTAAGAATGAGGGCTGTGAAATATGGTTGAAATCAGTGTCACAATATTAATAACTGTATGTTTCCGGCACAATTTTGGTCAAAGGATATATATTTAGATATTTATATCTATATATATGAATTATGTTTTTGATCTTTGAAAACCTGAAAAAGTTGAAAAACAAGTGATCTATCGACAAGTGATCTCTCCCATGTCAAACAAAAAAGAAAAATTGAGCTTCCCCTGCTTTCGTCCTTTTGTCCTGAATGTTTGATCGTTATCATTAAAATAAAAAGGGCTCTGAGAAGGCATTATTTGGCCTCCGTATTGTGATGTGGTTGGATGTGGCCTGCCAACATTTTTGAGATTTTCAAGTGGGATGTGAGTTGGAAAAGGTTGGGAATCACTGATATAAAGAATAGTTTGTGCAGTATTTCTGCACATTGTAAATTTTTTGACGTTTATTTAATGAAGGTAATTGAACTAACACCACTGTGAACGAAGCTTATAACATACGTTCTCTCCTCCACCAGGGAGCAAGAGTTGAGCTCTCTGCTAAAAATCTCAAGGTAATGGACCAGATGCCTCCATCAGCCCCAAGGTATTGTATAAATCCACTTCCAGCAGGCACCTCTGCCCTGCCTTCAGTACATTGGACAATTTACAGCCTTAGACGAGCCGGATCCTCTCATTTGAATTTCTTTTTTTTTTTATTTTTCAACAGGCTCTTCAAGCTGTGTTTGCCGCCCTCAGATGGAGAACTCTAAGAAAAGCGTCACTTCAGAGAGATCATCAGAGAGAGGGTGAATGTGGAAGAGGAAGATGTGATGAGAGACGACGGTTACAAAAGAGGGCAAGTCTCACCGGATTTCCTCCGAGAGACACTGCTGATGGACAGACCCTTGCCCCCCTCGCTGCCTCAGTTACACAGGGATCATTCCAGCATGGATACCACTAGAGACTTCAGTGCAACGCACAGACTAAACAAGACTGTACAGATGACTAATGTCAGTTACTTGGGAGCACCTGACGCAGCCTGAAGCGCAAGACTAGTCATGTACTGTTGTACTGGGAAACAACCCGGATAGAAGTATTACTGTTTTGGCTGTCTACACATCATATCTGACATGAATGACTTGACAACTGATGTGAAATATTCACAATGTGAGTGAAAGATGTCAGTTTGAGGCCTCACAACGACAACATCCACAGCAATTACGCTCATAACGGAGCTCTTATTATTAACTGGATTAACCAAACTACCTGTAGCTGACTGTTGTCCTAAATGCAGAAGTTTTCCATTTTGCCTTGGACTGCAAGTCCAGAAAGCTGTGTCTTTCTCTGTGTGGGCAGGTGTTCCCCAGGGCTCAGTGTTTGGACCCCAAGTGAAGTGGAATACTTGGATACCCTGGTATTCATGTGTGATCGCAGATTGGATAGATGCCGAAAGTCAAAGAGTAGACAGAGAGATGGAAGTAGGGATTGAGGGATGGATAAAAAAAAAAAAAGACGGATGAGAGACAGGGCTGCTCTTTCCTCAGCCCGTTGCATGTGGTTACTGTGCAATTACTGTAGGTTTTAGTGTGAGTACTGTATTACTGCACTATATGAAGGATAGTTATTTATTGTGTCTGGAAGGAGTGTTTTTATCCCTCACTTATTCTATATCAGGTATTAAAGAATCTAAAAAGCATTCCAGCCTACATATTGAACAGTATTTAAAGGACCAATGGCATGCCTTTTTTTTTTTTTTTTAGATGCAACTGCTTGTGTACTTCATTTTTATTTATGTCTATAGAATTTGATTACATCAGGAAATCTTCAGGGAGTGCAAGGGAGGAAGGATGAACAGAAGCTAGCTAATCAGAATCAGGACAAAGGAAGCTAAAAACAAACTATACAGGGCTGATTGTTTGTCAACAAGCAGCCAGGTTGGGATATTGAATCATTGTTAAATTATTAATATATTAATGGAAATGTACTAGTTCAAGGATCGCCTTCTGTTAACTAAGACATTGTGTTGATTTTTGAATTGGCTTTTATGTTGTCTCGGGTCTGTCGTATTTACTGTAGGTATTAAAAGAAGCACAATGATTGGTCCGTACAAGTCGCAGTGTTAGCAAAACGTACTGTAAGCAGTTTGCAGGTGATGTAAACAAAGGGATCTTTCCGGGACTTAATCATAGTAACAGAATTTTGCTGAAGATTTTAATTTCTTGTACATACAAACTGTAACTATGTCAGAGGAAGAAAATAGGATATGTCTTATGGCAGCAGAGTAATGCTATAAATTAAAATGCATTATTTTTATGGAAATAATATAGTATATAAAACATTTTGTATTGGTGACTGTGCATTTGAAGAGAAGTTTTTTTTTTCTCTTTGTTGAGCGTAACCTCACTGACGACTCGTAGTATTTGACTGGTTTAAAGAAAAAATGTTTTAAATGCATTTCAAGAATCTTCCTTGACATGCTGCATTCATTAGGCAGATGACTTAGTCCTTTTTATTTATTTAAAAGCAGTCTGGTTCCAAATGAGCATGTTGGAATAGTCCCTGCACATCCCCTGGCAGTAGCATGGCCACTGTAGATTTATATCCACTGCCTGACACATAAGACTCATTGGATAATTCCATTATCATCATGTCCCATATCAAATTTGCTCTTAGTGTACATTGTATAAACTGCTGGTCTTAAGTGTGTGTTACCAGTTTGAATTAGCTAATGACTGCAGCATGTTGGTGTAGCTGGACAAAGATGTCACTGATTACACATTTATTATTTACATTTATTCTAATGTTTCCTGACTGTATATACTTTATTTGCAATTTTATGTTGCTTGAAAATAACTGTACAAAGCATCTTTGTTGGAATCTTTCTAAAAATGATCATTGTAAATGCAATCTTAACAAGCTAGTAAATAAAATCTTCACAGTATGACAATGTTTTCCAGTGTAGCAGCAGTGTTGTTGATCCGACGTGAGGACTTGATGTCCAGCATAAAAAGTGGTTTCCATCTAGTGAGGACCTTTGCCTCCCATTTATCTCGTAATCTTCCTGCTTTCAGATAGTGGCAGGAGACGTGTGTGCGTGCGTGTGTGTTCAGTCAGATAATACAGACCTTAAAAACACAGCTTGACATAGTCTTAGGTGTCCATTACCCTGACTGAAGAAAGCTGCACATATGAATATTGCATGAACATGCATCATCAAATTGAAAGCCTTCCTTGCAGCTTCTCTTTTGGGGCTGGAATTGAGTGCAGAGGTTATCTCAGGGTAATTTCTTTAGATGCATGACATGGTCATTTCCCCAAAACACAGTGATGATCATCTCCCAATCAGAAAGCTCCAGATTAACAAACCGGATCAGATGTTATTGCACCAGAACGAGGCTGCCTTTATTGGTCATTGTAACTTTAACTTTAGAGGTTAATGATGGATCATTAAATGGCTGCAGATCACCTCTAATTTGCTGATTGCTATAACGTGATTAGACTGGAGTGAAATTTATGAGCATTTCCATCCCTGCTGTGTCTGTCAAATGGCCGGAAGGGGCTAATGTAAAAGCATACACTGTGCAGTTTCGCGTGGATATTGCAATTGGTTTTCTAGGGGGACCGACACCGACTGCATTCACCACCAGCACACACCCCTCAGCACCGGTGATGCATCCCCGCGGCAAGGGCACGGACAACTCCTCGTTAGAGTCGTCTCGACTTTAGAATGGTGCAGAAATCTCTCAACGGCGGGGTTTACCCAACTCAAGCCGGAGAGAAGAAGCACAAAGTCGGATTTGTTGGATTGGACCCGGGGGCTCCCGAATCCAGCAGGGATGGGGCGCTGCTCATTGCGGGCTCGGAAAGCACCAAGCGGAGCAGCATCCTCTGCAGACAGAGGTCCAGCATCTCCGCCGGGAGACCCAGACCGTCGAAGAAAAACGCCAGCTATCGGAAACTACAGAATTTCCTCTATAATGCGCTGGAGAGACCGCGGGGATGGGCGTTCATCTACCACGCTTATGTGTAAGTGATGTCCGCGCTTCAACCAAGTATGTTTGATTCTGTCATTATGGCCTTTTGCTTTGGTAGCACACACACAAACACACACGCACACACACTGCATGATTCGAGTCATGATTCGGAGTTTTGCGGGTTGTCGTGTGTCTCATTCCACATTGATGATCATGTTCGCATGGCGCAGTGGAGGGTTAAATGTTGTCATGCTGCCAGGCTGCTGTAGCCTGATCATAGGAGGGGTGTCACTTCACCTGCAGAACTCCTGCTTTAACTCTTCATATCGGCTATTGCGACACGCTTATGTCGTACTGACGTTATGGTGGATGGATTTTCGTGATGTCGGACATTCCTCCGGTCTGTGTTTCACGCACTGTTGTTTCTCTTTGATTGGAGTTAGTTGCCATATGTTGCGGCAGGATTGGGTTTCAGCACCGTGGTGTGTGGACAGCTCCGCGCCGCGTCACTACTTTCACTAATTAACGTTGCAGTCTCAGTGATGTGGACTCTACTACATGCACACTGTATAGCCTGTGTGTGTGTGTGTGTGTGTGTGTGTGTGTGTGTGTGTGTGTGTGTGTGCAGGCAGGCAAAGGGAGTGTTCTGGATACTACAGCCGGTGACTAGACAGTCTGGGAGCGTTTGTAGACTCCGGTGATGCCATCATGAATGTGCTGGTTGATGATCTGTGACCCTCTGGTGGAGTGGAGTGGTCAGCAGTGAGGCGGGCAACCACAAATTCCTACATATTAAAGGGCAGCTGCAGCAATTCAGTAATGCACTTTCATAAAGTTGGTTGAGAGACATTTCCCATAATACCAATGGTATCTGTATGTCAGACCCTCCCTGCCACAACCTTCTCTTCAAAATGTGTCGTCTATGGGAAGGGGATGTGATCTCTGGAGTATGGCACAGCCCTCCCTTCTGATAATGTCTGGCCTGTTTTTGGATTTTTTTGTGTGTCCAATAAAGATATTGAGCAAAAAAAAAAAAGTGCAGTCATCCATTAGCATTATATTTTCTGAGTTGATGAAGCTCAGCCACAGCCATAAGATCCTGCTCAGCTGTTTTCACAAGCTGAACCGTTCTCCCCTTCACTAGTAAACTGACCTTTATGTGTAAAAAACAAACACGCACATGTAACCTGCTGCCGTTTTGTGCATCATATCAAGATGAAAGGTAGCAATTACAGTAATTACAGGTGTTAGCCCTACGACTCTATAAGCTCTTTTCTTTTCAAAATGAAAGGTGGGTAAAGTGAGGGTGGTCGTTTGCCTGAGTCCGTCTGGTTCAGTGATGCTGCATGCTCGATACTGAGGAGCTGAAATTGCCATAGCATTAAGGAATTCACTGTGCACAGCGTATCAACTCCCCTGAGACATCTGGATGCCCAGGAGTAAGCCTGCGCTTTAACATGAAACCACACACACACACACACACACACATATACACAGGCCCCTCGGGGTGCTTTTGAAATATTAACTGAATACTACAGCAGCCAGCTAAAAACCCCTTCTTTGCCATTTGTGATGCGTTTTGGAAGGTCTTCATTGACCGACGTCACTCTGAGGAGGCAGTGCTGCTTTCTTCATGGCTGAATCTAGTGCAAGGAAGAAGGGATGTTGTTGTTATTTTGGAGGATAATGAAGCATTTGGAGCCAAACTACTCCAGGCAACCTAGTTAGAAGAGGGTCAGTAGCTTATGTGCTGTCTAAAATCAGAATCCTCTGGAAAGCGAGATATAAATTAGTGACAACTCTGCTTTAATACCCAGAAATCTGATGATGATTAATGATTAAAGCAGATCCACACAAAGTTCACTGTTTAACATCCAGTCTGCATGAGGAGCATCTGTGCAGAGTAACCACGACTCTGCCTCTATTCCACTTGCCTGTTCTATACATTATTCAGCGTCACCACACTTCATTTAATATCCCAACTCTTTTTACTTCCAGCCAGCTGATTTATAAAACTATCATGTGCTGACTTCAGTCAAATCATCCCCCTCCTCCTTCATTCTCCTCCTTATCTCCGCTCCAAAAGACAGCGTTTGGCAAACACATCGATACCGCTACCTTGAACCGAGGAAGACAAGCTTTGCAAAGAAAAAAAAAAAACCCCAACGTGCTCACGCTCAGACAGCAGCTATTTCTTTTTTTTTGTGATGGGTTACCTGTGGAAATGTTGGGCGGGTGTTTTGTTCCATGGCCCTCGTTTGTAATGCATGTGTGAATGATCGATATGTGGAACACGAGTACCTATATACAGAGTACTCTCCGTCTTGCTGCCTCCATGTCTCTCTCTCACCTACTCTTTTTCTCCCTCTTTGTCTGAGATGTCTGAGCCCAAGGCCGTCCTTCCTCTCCGGTTCTGTCTCCGGTCCAACATCAGTTAAAGGGGAGAGACACAGTGATCCTCGTTTTTCACTGTGTTAATCTCCAGTCAAGGATCTAAATACTCGGCATCTTGTAAAATGCAGGTCCCTGCAACTGGGTTTCAACATTTTGAAGTCTAACAAAGGCTTCGTTCAGCCCCCCCCCACAGGAAGCAGCAGCTGAGAGACTTGAAAGGCCTCTGCAGCTGTAAGATGACAAAATGTGTCACAGTGGAAAACAGGAACAGGAATATCACAGCAGAAGACGATCAGTCTGTGAAAAAAGAAAAACAAATCTTGTGTTAAACTTTCTGAAAGTGATGCAGGGAGACAGGCCGAGGATTTGGTGTAGTTATTCACTCTTCTTCTGCTGAGCTGGCCTGCCGAAAACAAACTGAGGAAGAGAGAAATAAGGCGAAGGACAGTAGCAGACAGGTGTTAGCTGCCAAGCTGCTGAGATGTGATGGAGTGGTCTGTTTCAAGAGAGGCTGTGAGGAGGTGGAAGTCTGAGTCCTGTAGGTGGGCTATGGCTTGGACTGGATGGTGTCCCACTGATATTACTGATATTATATAATATATATTAATGTCAGACCTTGTGATGTTGAAGCAAGAGCTTGACCTCTTGTGAGTTCAACAATGACAAGTTAGCTTGTGGTTGCTAATGTTGGATAAATATTACTGTGAGGAGTCAGTTTGCTGAATGTTCTGGTTGTTTTGAAAGCCACAGAAACAATCTTATAAATATATGATTGATCCTGTGGCTTTTGCAGCCTCTCAATGTGCTTTGAATATGAAAGTAACGAAGCTAGAAAATAACGCTCTATTGCTAGAAGCTACTTATTTGATCAGTGACTCAGTGAAGTCAGTTCACTTTGAAATGTTTTTGATGAAGACTCGTTTGCACGTGTAGTATCAAACTCACCACCTTTCTGCTCATTGTTTTCATTGACCTGTCTGCAGTGTAACCCTTACAGAAACAAACACGTGAACATTTGATCACATGTAGCATGTGGCACCATGTAGCTCACCTGTAGAAAACATGTTAACACAGGTTATAACATGTCACAAATACTGCAGATTTTCACCAATTACAACAAGTGCAGTAATGTGAGTACTGACAAACATGCAAACAAACGAAAACAAACTATGTACATAGGTTTCACATGGGAATTTACTTCTCACATTACACCCCAAAAATGTTCCAAAACCACATCTCCCATGTGCCAGCACGTGTTCCAACATGTGAAATTCATGTGTTTTTTCTGTAGGGGAAGTTTCATTTAACCACATTCATCAGGTTGAACACAAACACGTCTCCAAATGAACACTCATGTTTGCTCTGTATTTGCTGGATGTGCGACTGTCAGTTTAAAATGATGATAATCTGTTGGAGTTGTGTTCACAGATTTCTTCTTTGTGCATTTCTCTGTAACTGTGTATGTACAGACTGTAAAGCTCTCTGAGGCTTGATTTTGAGTTTGACTATATAAATAAAAGTGTCTTGATGTGACACGACTCCTCTGTCTTATCAATATCAAACCAAATAAAATTTTTATCCAAAATTCAGGCCTTCACATTTTGCATTTCAACCACATGACACGACTTAAATCTCTTTTTAATGGATTTTGCTCTAACTGGCGTCCAACAGCGTTGTGTATTACATTATTTGCTGATATAGCTCTCACTTGGCAGGCACCCCCCCCCCCCCCCCAAGCTACAAGGAACATTATTTTAGAGCGTAGGCTTGATAGATTTTTATTTCTTGGTTCGTTTAATTAATTGCAGAGGGAATATACAAGAAGTAGAGATTTCTGTTTCCACAACAGGAAAAAAAACAAACTCTTTATTATTTCTCAGTAACAGCTGCGTGCACATCAAGGTACCCGCTGGCTCATAAGGAACACAATAACAGCAGGTAGCTACAATAGCAGTGTCACTCATGTATGTATTTATGCGAGATGAGCGCCCCAGAAAGTCATCGTCACCCTCAGACACCCCGCGAAAGAGCAGCACAGAGAGGACGCTGCAGTGCTGGCACATGGTCGTCGCTGGCACTATTTGCTTTGTGAAAATCCTTTCTTCCTTATTTGCTCTCCTCCAGTTCATCGCAGTCTAAATTTAGCGTGATGAGTATGTCTGGGTAGGCAATGTTGTGCTGAGAGGGGCAAATCAATGTTTCTTTCTCTGCAGCTTAGGAGGAAATGCAGGCCTCTCTGCTTCCAACAACAGCCCCCACCCTCAACTTGATTGATCAATAGCCACGGTCCCACTGATGTCGTCTGGACATCTCTGGCAACAAGTGGATGTGTGTGTGTGTTTGTGTGTGTGTGTGTGTGTCAGCTGCATGAGTTTTGATCGGGGACAGAGGTGGTAACCCAGATGAGACGATGTAAAAATAGAGCTCTACAGTCATGTGTGTGTTTATTGATATGTGAATGTTACCGTCAATAGCTGAAACATCCATTGACATGGAAACACCTGATCCTTTTACTGTTGGGAAATGGTTTAGTATCAGTAAAATAACAATAGATCAATATCCTACTGGAAATTTAACAGGATCAGTTGATTGAAGATATAAATTGAAAATGTTGTGCATGTAGTTAAAGGAATACTTCAACATTTTTGGAATATACTT